CCCTACTGGGGATTGAGCCCCCAACCTGGGCATGTGCCCTGACCGGGAGTCGAACCGTGACCCTCTTGTTCATAGGTGGAGGCTCAACCACCACACCGGCTCGGCAATGGGGTTTTGAATGTTGAATAAGAGTTTGTCAAATGAAAAGGACAGACAGTATAATCAAAGCCTTTGAGGCCCCCCAAAGTGTCTTCTCACTCCTCCCAACTGCAGTTTCCCCCAAAATACTAGTCTGGATACCCCAGTCAGCCATGATCGGCTCCTCAAGGGTCCCCAAATGCTACCAAAGCAATAAACCTCTGCTGAAGACCCACTTGGTACTTCAGACAGCCTTTCTCTATGTAACGTTCAGCTGCCAGCACAGAAGTTGATTTTAGGTAGAAACAAGGTCAAACATTTTTTGAATAGCTGTGTATTAGTTTTAATGGGTCATAGGAAAAAACATAAATAAGTTCCCTACTGGCGCTTGCGCGCACACACACGGGGGTTTGTGGCTGCAGTTACTCAGGAGGACTTGCTGACTGGGGCACACGTTTGGCAATCAGACAAGTGGCCTGGAGGTGACATCCTGGAGCTGGGGAACATGCTGAGTCCCTACACTCCCTGCCACCTGATCGCAGTGCCATTATCTATAGAATGAATGGACTGAATCCATGGAAATGAGGCTGCTGGGTCACTTTTACTTAGTGATTGCTTCACGCCAATATCATGTTACATGTGACATTCACGTGCGCATTTTACAGCTGAGAAAACTGAGGCCAGGCGGGTCAAGTGACAGCCTGACCAATAAGAGGGGGGCCTGGCTGTCTGACCTCAGATCCTCGCTATCAGGACTTCGCCCTGTGGGGCCATTCTGCCTCCAGCGGATACTGGATGATGTCTCAGATTCTGTGGCTGTCGTGACTGGAAGTGTTCCTGGCAGCGAGTGGATGGAGGCCAGGGATACTGCTCCACACCCCACAGATACAAGGATGGCCCCCACAGAGAATGAGCTGACCCCAAATGTCAATAGCGCTGGGGTAGAGACACCCCACTCTAAACCCCTCGTGGAAAGAGGACGCTCACCCCAGGACAGATGGTCTTCCTCCAGCCCCCCATTATTCTGATCTCACATTGCTATGCCCTTTTCAAGAGCACTCAGAGGCTCCTTGGTATACCCATGAGATGACCCTGTGCTCGTGTCCCAGGTTTTGGAGAAGAGCACTGGCCCCGAGCCCCCATTCCCTTGACCCCTGACCTCCAGGTCACTTTATGGAGTTAAAAATCTGCTTTTCATCCACCCACTTTATTCATGTTTTCATTCATTCAGTCAATCACTCAACAAAAATGTTTCAAGCCCCTGCTACGCACTAAGTGCATGAAGAAGTAATGGGGACCAACTTCCCCCCTGAAATTGCAGCGCCAACTTCAACCAGGAAAGGGCAGAGCAGGTGTGGCATGAGGGGTTAGGGAGGGATGCAGGGGACGGTGAGGTCCCGGAAGTACTTGCAAGATGAACTTGCTTGGCCCCTTCTGAGCATCTACGGGGAAACTGAGGCCCAGAGAGGGCAGAGGCTGGGCTGAGGTCCCCCAGGGTGTCAGCTGCCAGGAGGAGTAGGAGCCTGGGGGCTTTGTTCCTGGGCTTTGAAACTTCCTGGTGGAGGCTGCCTTGCTGGTGTGCTACAAGAAGCTGAGGTCATCTGTGGCCTAACAGGTCAGACCGGAACCCAAGAATGTCCTGAAGCAGCTCTGGGATATGGCTCAGTCATCAGCATTTATTGAGTGCCCACTGTGTACACACAGGACTGACAACACTAACCCAGTCCCTGCTCCAAAGAAAGCCCAGGATCCCCGGGGGAAGTAGACCATAATGAAATCATCAAAAAAAGTAAGTAAAAGTACAACGTAGACTTCTGAGAGCATTGGCAGGGAGACACGACCTGGACTGGGGGCTCAGGGCGAGCTTCTCTGAGGAGGTAGCACTCGAGATGAGATGAGAACTGAGTTTAGTAAGAGTGACCTAGGTGAGAGGCGCCTGGGCAGAGAAACAGTTAGACCCGAAGGAGGTGAGGGGGGGCCATGGGGAGATCTGGGGGAAGGTGTTCTGGGTGGCGTGAACAGCGTGTGCAAAGGCCCTGGGGTAGGACCATGCCTGGCATGTTGGAAGAACAGAGAAGAGGCCTGCATGGCTGGAGCAGAGTGAGCGGAGGGGGTTAGTGAGGAGGTCAGGGCAGGGAGGGGACAGGGACAGGTCACCCAGGGCCTTCTGAGATTTGGGCTTGTTTTTTGGGGGGGTGGGGGGGGGGGGGGAGGGGGATGGAAGCCCTGGAGATCCATGAACATTGGAAAGACCTGCCTCAGGTGCTCACTGGCGCCATCTTGTGGCTGCTGCGGGGAAGACATATTGTGGGGGCCAGGGTGGGACTTCCTTAGGTGCTCAGAGGCGCCCTTTGGTGGCTACTTGGAGGGAGCGCTGACTGTGGTGGGGAGAGGGGGACTAGGGAGGCCAAACCTGGAGGCCCTGTTAGATGTTGTTTCCCCCCCTCCCCACCCCTTTTTTTAATGAACATTTTATTTTGGAACTATTTTAAATTTACAGAAAAGTTGTAGATATAATTCAGAGAGTCCCCATATGCTCCTCACCCGGTTTTCCCCAACATTAACATTGTACATGACATTGGTATATTTGTGAAAATGAAGAAAGCAACATTGCCAAGTCACCATTAAGTAAACTCCACGTTGTAACAGGTTCTACTAAGATCCCTTTTCTGCCCCGGGACCCACCCCGGATCCCCAGTGCGTTCAGCCAGCTTGGGCTCCACTCCCCTCGTCCCACAACCTTTCCCGTCTGGAACAGACTGGCCCGGGACTCGGTAGAATGCCTCTCACCTGGGCTGGTCTGATGCTTTCCTCATGACTGGACTGTGTGGGAGAGAAGGGGGGCGCGCATTCTGGGGTTTGAGGAAGGGCAGATTCTGGGTGTGGCGGACTCCCGGAGAGCGTGTGAGGACTGAGCAATGATGTCCCCGGGGATGGCAGTGTGGGGTCCTGGTGCCCCTAAGTGACAGCGCTTTGATGTAGGAGGAAAGGGAAAGTGAGGGTGGCTTGTAGACCTTCCTAGGAGCTTGAAGTAGGGAATGCAGCTGGAGGGGGCTCAGATGTCGAAGCTCTAAAAGGAAGCTCTGTGGAAAGGGGGTCGCTGAGCCTGGCATGAGTCCCAACCCCTCTGACTCTTGCCTTAGTTTCCCCAGCTGTGTGATGGGGACCTGGTTCCGACTTTGAGTCCTATCCTTGGGAAGGTTCGAATGTTCGTGCATCCGGCATGTGGCAGGCGCGCGGAAGGTTTGCCTGTGTGCTCCCTGTGCTCCCCTCTCCACTCCAGACCAGGAGAGGGACACAAGCCCCAGTGGGAAAGACAAAGGTGGATTATGGTGTCCCCAGGACTGGAGGGCGCCCCCAAAACTGTCTGTATCAAGGGTCTGTCCTGTGCAGCAGCCGGGTAGGACCCGGACCCCTGACACCTTTCTTACAGCCCCTGTTTTCAGTCTGGCCTCGCAACAGGACCCCAGGC